GGGGCTCTTGGTCATAAGTTCATCCCTTCGATCGTCCACTCCACTGAAGAGAGAGTTCAATGTGCTACCTGTACATTGGACGTCAGAGGCAAAAATGTGATACGTAATGGAGCACAAAATAGAAAATGATTTCATAACAAAGTTGGCGGATTCGATGCCGAAGAGACTCGAAAAATAAATTCATTATATTCTCTTTAGTTAGCTCTTATCTTAGCATGATCTACGTCGACCACTACCGACGAAGTGGGAGTATCTGCTACGTTCCTAACCATTCCATCTGGCGAGTATAAACGAATCAGGAAAATCAATGCTATAAAGACTCACCAAGGCTTGTTTATTATTATTTGGAAAAAAATTACTTAAGTATAATTGCTGTTGCCTATACGAACCTACAAGTGTTTCACAGAGACCGGTTTCCTCAGTTTCGATTAGCTGTATATATATATATAGCCTCGGGGTGGGGTCCCCGAGGCTATTCCCCTTCCTCGGCCAGGGCAACCGGGAAGTAACATGCCCACGCAACCTGTGAACACATTCTTCAGATTTCTTTCTGTTCATATGTGGCACATTTGCCAGTTCTCTGTAATTGGTTTCGTGTTGAAATATATGTATATATATATCATTTGCTGTATGTGGATTAGAACCATAATAATCGTAAAGATATTTGTTTCAAATTTTCTTCTGTGTGTACCGATTGATTTGTCTGGTACTCAGGTAATTGCAAATGTTTGTTTAAATCAGGACAGTGGTGAACTGCATTCACTCCAGTTTTCTCTATGCATTTGCATTTTTTCAGCAGTTTGTTTGTGAACGAAGCGCAGAATCCACTTTCATAAGAAGAAAAAGCACGGCGCAGATTCGGCTATGTAGTCTTGTTCTTTTCCTGTCATTTGATGAACGCTGTCCATTTTCTTTTGAAATAATTATCCAGCTTATTTCCGTGTTCATTCAGGTGGGTAATACGAAAGAAAAGTCATAGTTTGTCATTTGTTTAATGGGCAAATTTAATGGAATTGGATAACCACATCCAAACACCAAGATCGAGTTTGTTGGATCTAATCGAAACAAGATGAATCCGACTAATTTTCTAAGTCGTCTTTGAAACAAGCTTGTTCTGTATTACATGTTTGGAACATAACAACTGATGGGAATAGTGTATCCTCTTATCAAGATTATCTGCGATAGGATTTATTAATCCGCTAACCGGCTGCTGAATCGCGTGACATGCTCCAGAGGATGGACGTAATTGCGGCAATATTTGCTCTGGTTATGATGAGGTTTTTATTTCACTTTTGATCGGTTATTGCTAGCCCATTTGATTAGTGCCGGTTTATTGAATTTTGTTTTCTCAATAAAATAGTAAGTGGACAGTTATTCGTCTTTCTGTGTGTCCATGCTTCGTGTGTTTCACTCCATGTTGATCATTCTTCTTTATGCTACGAGAGAGCAATATACGCTTTCAGCATTTGCATTGTATCCACGAATCAGCTTTGAGTGTTTGGCTTGTAAGGTTCTGTTCAAACCAGTGATTTCAACCAAAGCTTTCGCTAAGACAAATAATATGCATTCGTTCGGCTTTCTTGGTTGTTTTCGCGAGATAACACATTCGCTCTCAAGGCACGATATACTGGTTACCCTCCAGGGACGGTCATCGTGTTTATGAATTCACACACCAAACTGATCAGTTTGTTGCAGACCTTGTGGTCCATCTGGTTTCACGGAATGTTCGAGACTAAAGCACAGCCGTCAAAAGTGCTCCATCACGTTATTATCCCGCTTTTGAGAAGTTTTCCGCTCTAATTTGCACTTTGTACATAGTTTCGCTCTGAAATTTGATTTATCTAATCATAGTATGCATTCGGTCGTTCCATCTATACGTGAATTCGTTAGAAGTTAGATCCTTTACTTTTGTGATGGTACACTGTACGGGACCTCTGAAATTTATTTTCGATCTTTCTGTGATACTATTTGAGTCTGTCCAGAGGTCGTCTCTAAAGATCCTCATCTATCGACATTAACCTATGGATTCCGCAGAAATACATCAACGTAAGCAACGGGGACCCAGATAAATCCGAGTACAGACATGTATTTTTCACTGTACAGGAATCTAATCACTATTCTACTGTAAACGTCACCCTTACCTGAAATATGTACGGTCCTAGGGAATATTGCCATTTTATGCGTTCCGTTATATTGTATTCCAGGTGCTCGCTGGAACTATTTTCAGCCGCCAATCTATTAATCTCGAATGGTGACTGATAAAGAACGAGACCGGCTTTATCCTTGGGAAAATCTCCGTTAATCGCTACCTCAGCGACGGGGAAATCGTTAATTGTTTGGGCTTAGTGGAAATTTTCGTTACCTGGGTGAATTCCTTTGCTAAAAACAGATAAGTGAAGGTCACCTCTAATTTCATTCTAGGGAATTCACGCCTTCTGGCTCCCTTCTACACCTGTATGTGATTCTTCACTTCAAGCTCTCATAGGCCGTCCGCTTTCTGTCGGCACCGTTAAATGAATTACCTGCCCAATCCGCCCAATAAAAAAGCATTGGTTAATGTCTTTCTGTTCTCACCCTCTCTTTTGGCTTTATTTTTATCCCAAACTGAAATATCCGTGCAAGCTAGCACCGCAACCCCTATCCACTTTGCCATTAGAAGTACAGGTGTTGATTAACCTCGTGCAACATCACTCTCATTTTGGAAATACATTTCAGCCTCCAATGTCATACTTGTATATTGATGGCTATGGGTAAAGTGTATTTATTCCTGGTTTTATATCCCCCATCTATGTTCTTAATTCTCTCGTATCACCGTTTGAATTTGCGTGATCTTGAGTGTTGCGATAAAATTTGTAATAGTTCGAAAGTTACAGCTGAGATTTCGAAAATATTTTAAGCAAAGTAGCATGGGAATTCATTCTTTTTAATCAATAATTCCTGTTCCATGAGAGTGTTCATTAAGTTGAGCAGACGTATTCTAAATTGTTTATCTCTTTTCATTCAGTGCACAGTAAATAAGCAAAGTAGTGGAAATATTTTAGCTCACATAAATTGATAAATTATTTGGCCATAAACGCGCATTATCCACAATACTGAAAGAA